ATTCCAAACACCATTTTGATTCTGATATTCTGCACAACGGTGATTCAGAACAGCATCTCCAAGAACTTTTATACCGGCATCATGGAATGTCTTCACAGTCTCCTTCAGTTCGTCCATATTTCCGTATCTGAGAAGTGTGAACAAGAGCAATCACTACTTTTACATTATCCTTCCCATAGTGGTACTAACTAGCGTCTCTTAAATGAGAGTTCAGTATCAAGACTAATAAATAAATAAAAAAGTTAACTCGCTGCACCAAATAAAGAAATTTTACTACAATAATGATAAAGAATTCATCTTTAAGACTCACCACATAACTGGTATGTTGATAAACACGGCAACAAGAGGCATGCCGAACTACTTTTTTGTTTATTCAAAAAATTTACAAAAGAAAATAGTTGTTTGGTATGTGTATATATGAGAAAACAAGTGACAAAGGTTATCGAAGTGAAACGTGGAATGAACAGTGAATACCGTGACAAAAGTATTATGAGTAACATATGGTACCTGGAGTTCATATTGTATAAATCCCTCGGCATGTACCCTTCAGGCGACACAGAATCTGTAGGAGGTGGGAACCAAATCACGGTGAAACCTAGTGAAGATAATTCTGCAGCTTTACTTTTGAGTTCCATGTACCATCTTCCAGATTTACTAGATTCCCAGTTAAAACCTTGGCACAATATTTCAAAACCTGTTCCTGTCCCCGAGCATATTTTAGCAGGGGCGACTTTCACCTCTTCAGTTTCTGCAATGATTTCCTCCGGTAAAGTTGGAACAGTAGTTCTGAAGATACTATACGCTTCAGCAGCCAATTTTTCTATTTCTTGAAGAATGGTTTCTTGTGCTTCTTTGGATCTTTTCCTTTGACTCTTCTCAGAGGAAACGTCACTCACCAAGTTCCTTATTTCATTGATTATACCATCGGTATACGCAGTAAAATTAGTTTCTGTACTTCTGTCAGGCACCTGAGCATCTTCAGACTGAACCTCTCTTTGTACAGCAATTGAGTTATCTGAGCTTAAAAGGGGGATGTAGAAGTCATTTCCCACACAATTCAACCACATAGTTTCATTTAGTTTGAAAACAAAAAGAAATCCTGCGAGTCCTTCTTCCAAAGTAAACAGTCCAAAACATCCATTTCCATCCTCTTTTTTCTGCACACAAGATGTCCATGAGAATAACAAAATTGATCAAGAACATAGCTAATAAACTTGCTAAGATTTATGATGGCATATTGTATACAAATTAATGCGAGCATGGATGCATATAGCCGGAACTTATATGCACTCACAACTTCTCTATCATGTACATCATGTACACCAAGTATGTATGCACTCAGAAATTTCTAACAAAACCCTCCTACTGGAAATTATTCCTTTCCACGAAAATGCACACAGAAAATTTAACAGCGATCCCATAACTAGAAATACAACATCCACAAACATTCGGTGTTTATACCACAAGAAAGAATGGTCAATTAAAAATCCATAAATAAATATAAACCGAACAAGAGAGGAAAAGGAATAGAAAAGAAACAGAAAAAGGTCATAGAAACCTGTAATCGAGTCCGCAAAGCCTTGTCCTTGAAAACTACTGTTTCTGGTGGATGTGGGGCAGCTGGAATTTCCCATCTTTTAGTATCATCTCTGCAAACTCCCCAGTGAACAACAGCATGATCAGGTAAATCTGTTTCCAAGCATAGAAGATTCTGAGTAGTCTCAGGGCACTTCCTAACGGAAACAGTTACTGAATTGTTAACAGCAATTTCTTTTGCAATTGGCAGTTCTTCATAGAATCCTTCTAGACGCATAGTTTTCTGTTGAGGGTCTCTGGATTCACCGCTGCTATCTTGATCTTGGGAAATTGATGATTCTGCTTTGACAAACACATTGGATAGTTTTCCCAAAGTTCCTAGAATAAAAAAGAGACTATCAATTTTCACTCAGTTCAAGTTGGACAAACTGTGGAAATAAATTGAAACTACAAAACTAACCACCCATAACCCACCACCTCCACAGCCGAAAGGAGTGGGTCTGTGTGGGTAATACAATTTAGCCACGACTGCGAGACCGAAACTTACCTCACCGGTCAACATTGGTTACATATGAATATAGACTCACACTATAAAAACTCGGAAAGGTAAAAGAAAGGGAATAATTCATGCTACAAAACAACACCTGTTTTCCGATTCAGCATTTAACTGCATCTAAGGATAAACAGAAAAGGAATCATTTTCAAAGATGTATAGAAACAACGGAGTTTCACTCTTAAGCGGAATTAGGACAGTCGTCACTCCTTTGAGGCTTTCGTTACACCATTTCCTAATCACAAATTGGTTCTGAATGAAAATAGCAGTAAAGTGGAAAAGATTCAACAGTATCACAAACAAAATAAATCAAGCAAACCAGAGAACAGAGTGGCTTTGACAACCTGGCCACCCGCCCAATGCCTTTGTTGCTCCAACTACATTGTCATCGTCTTGCGAGTAGCCCACGAAAGGCACTTTAAAGTCTCTCCCTCTATGCTGATACCAGGCACCGGTTTCTCCATCCTGCAACACCAAAAGCCCCCAACAAGAACAGAAACTAAAGATGAATAATATAATAGCCAGCATATATAACATAAAGGGCTTAATAGTTGGAAATCACAACCTTGAGAACAAAATTTATCGCTGCGATTGAGCTGGATGTAACATCAATCTTCACTTCGTGAGATGTATCGCCTCCCACGGGCGACAACGATTCCTTCAAGGGTGTCTCTATTGCATAGTCCTGAAAATCCACATCTGTATCAAACTTATGCCAACCAACAGCTCTGCAATCAAACTGAAGAACCCAAATACAAACCTTGATGGATACTGAACCAGCTGGTCTCATTTCACTAGGAGGCTGATCCCATTCACTGCACAATGCAAACATACATTTTAGAGAGAGAGAGAGAGAGAGAGAGAGAGAGAGAGAGAGAGAGACTGCAATCTACCATTAAAGTCTGAAGCTTTACCTGCCGACGTCATCCACATAATTAACTCCCCAGTGAAGAACCCATTTTCCAGGAAGATTACAACCCACAGTCAGCACCCAGTTCTTTGCATCCTTCCCATTGTCTAATTTCACGATGATCTTTCCCTCCACCTACAATTTCAAGCAGACTGAATCAGATAATTCAGAAGAAAACTCGACTTTCTGTTTGGTCGCGGAGAAAACAGAGGAAAAAAGAACCAAAAAAAGGAGCACCACTCAAAGTTTCCAGCTTTGAAAACACTGTTCATCGAGAGAAATTCCAGAGCTTCAAATTCGAGCTTAATAATTGGGGCTACAAACTCAAACAGTGTCGACAACCCAAAAGAAAAGGAAGCAGCAAATTCAGAAATGGCAGAAAGAAAGCACAGACCACTTCAGTTCGCTTGAGAGGGAAGGTCTCCTTGTAGAAGGCGTCAGCGAATTCGGAGGTCTCGACGGTGGCTGTATCGGTGGAGGCAGCTCCGACTCTGAGAGTGGGAGGCTGGAAGTTGCAGAAGCTGCGGCCATTGGAGACTACTAGCTTCTTTGGAAAAGCAGTGAAAGAAGAGCTGAGCTTTAATGGGTGCTTCGACGGGGGAGGGCGGTGGCTGGGTTTCTGTCGACGGTAGTGGTGGAGGAGGGGCTCTATCCTAACCGTCGACATGGTACGAGCAACGGCCACTCAGGAGACTGAGGACACGAAGAAACGAAATTTATGGACGGAATATAAGTGAAAGAATGTAGGAAGGGAGGTGGTGGATCTCTTTTTATTTTAACTTTTTATTTCAAATTTATTTATTTATTTTGAACGTTGTCTTTTTGTTGGTCGAATTATCAACGTCGTCTAATCTCAAGCATGTCGACTCCAACGACAAAGCTTTCATCACGTGGTCTAATCTCATCACGTGGTCTAATCTCATGTGATTAACAACTCGTTTGAGATTTTTTTTTTTTTTTTTTTTTGAGAAAGTTTTGAGATTGTTTTTAAAAATGATAAAAATATTTTATCACAATTAAATTACTTTTGATTACGTTCGGTGAAAAAATTTAAAAGTATTTATGCATCATAGAATTTTAAAGAAAAGAGCTTCTAATAAACATTTCTGGTAAGAGTGTTTTTAAGAGGAAGTAATTTTCATGGAAGTAATACCAAACGAAACATAAGTGTATTCATTTTTAAAATTGAGATTGAAGTTTGAATTTTTTTTTTTGTCAATATCGCTTGTGCATAAAAAAAAAAAATAAGACTTTTAATAAAGAGATTCGAACTCAAGTAAAAAACAAGCCAATTTTGAATACTAGTCAATTAGTTATAAGAGCGTAATTTTCTTGTAATCAGATTAATAGATTTGAGTCCGTTTTTGCTCACCTTAAGTTTTGAGTTAGGAGGGTGAGCAAAAACGGTATATTTTCATATTAAAATGTGGTAAAAATGAGATAATCAAGTGAATTATTATTTCAAATTTCCGTTAAGAAAAATTTTACCATACACATGATGAGTGAGATGAAAATAAAGATACAATGACTACGTTCATAATTTTGCCGTTGATGAGATGCGATTTTTCATTTTAATTTTTTAACAAAATCTAACACATGATGATTAAAGTCATGGGATATTTTCTTCAAAATTAAATCGGACCACTTGATCTATTTTCCACGTTCCTCCAAACGTTTGCGTTCACGCAAAACGCATCTTTTGGATGTTCTCTTTTCTTTTCTTTTTTACCCTGTTGCGCATGTCTCGTGGAGTAGGAACCCTTCTTGTCTTGTCCGCAGGGTCCCATGTGTACGAGCTTTTTTGTTTCGTTAACAACTTTCAAGGAACCGATCGCCAGATCCGAAAGGAAATGACCCAGAAAAGGTCCGAGGGAAACTCGAAAAACAAGATGACATATGATCTATCCTAAATTTGAATTTACCATCAATTCGAATTCACCCTATATTCGCAACTATAACACCGGAAAAAAACTTCAGGATGTGTTAAACAAAATACGGCGATTGACAAAAACCCACATTCAGCATACCCTCCGTTAAGATTTGGGTTGGATGGACATTCAGAAGGAATGACATGACATGGTTCGTGCCAATTATTTTATACAACGTATGACGGAATCGAATATCACCATAGCGAAAGGACCAAGTTCATCAGAGAGAATTCGCCTACTGTCTACCTACCTTTCTGCCCCCTCCATGCAAAAGACAGAACAATCAACACTCCGTTTGCACCGAATACCTGCCTACGCCTAGGGCTTGAGTGCCAAGGCTAGACCGACCTTTGCGCTCTTCTCTATTGCCCTGGTATCGACCTCTCCTGAGATGGTGAAGAACGACTTGGGACGCCACTCGTGCTGGATGAGAGCGCTTGCCCTGCCATAGTTATTCACCCGAGCCTTCACTGTGGTTAGAGGGTCAAGTGCATGCGCTGTGCCGATTGTGAGGCTGTTTTCATTGCTTGAAAAGCTATGGGCCAGCTCCGCACCAACAGCAGTGTTGGTGAGTGGGCTTACAGTGTGGTAGTAGGAAGCAGTAATAGTATCAGCTTTATCGCTCCTGTATACCCACCGACAATATCAGATAAGCACCATCAAGCTAAACACGCACATGCAATAAGCCCAACCCGACTCGAATAACACGACAAAATATTGTTAAAAGAAGTACTCACAGTAACAGGGAAGCAATGAGGTCAGAATGGGTGAAATTCAACCCTGCATTCACTTTGGTAAGGTTCCCAGAAGCAGTGTCGAAAGAAAGATCGGTTCCCAGAGAGAGAAGATTGTTCCCCACAACACCAGAAAAGTTAACAATCGGATTGGCAGTCAACCCAATGCTGGTACTTATCCCAGCATACTCATGCTGATATTGGAGTTCCACCTGTTTACAAAATACCCAAGTTCAGACCATACAGCAATGATACGTGTGCATATCATGCCCGATATGACATGCATCAACAGAGCAAAAAAGTGAACACAACTGAAGCAACAATGTTAACAAGTCAGAAAATGGACACGATGATTCTTACCTTGCCAGATCTCTGGTCAGGTGCAATAAAGCTAAAGATTGCCTTGAGACCAGGTGCAGGTTCATCAACAGTAATGGTCGTGATAACCTGCACGTTAACATACAATTATCAGTCACAATAACGAGGTATTATATTATGAAATTCATATCCAGAGAACAACAGGAAAATACTAACATTTACAGGTGTAACCCTGTCTCGAATAAATTCACGATATAAGATAAGCACATAGTTACAAGAACCATACACAAGATGGCGAAGCCAATGCAATCCTGTAACACAATATTATCAGCCAAGTAAATGTAGACAATGAATTTGTAACAGTATAGCCTGTATGGTTGCACTAACACCACAAAATGAGCTTACAGTCTTATCTAGTAGTTGGGAAGAAAAATGAAGAACATGTAAGATTAAACATAGCTTCCGTCTGAGATTTATACAAAAACAAGTTTCATGTTTTAAATCACCAGCATCACGTCTTCAAAGTACCAAGATAAAAAAGTAAAAACTAGCTAAGAAAACCATAAAACTTCATAGTGATCGTACAAACAAGTGATAAACAGTAGTGAGTACCGGGACAGGAAGTTTCCGGCTACTGCATTGACCTAATGGAGATACAACTAGTTCTGTTGACTTACGTTAGAGTTGGTGTCAACTTTCACATCAGTTGTGATGTTCTTGTTCTTCAGCTGAGTACTGACATCCCCCAAATACAGATCACCCTTCCTGATTCCAGTCGAACTGATTGCCTTGAGAAGTACAACGATTCAAAATATCAGAACAAAACAAAGTAGGATAAAACAAAGCTAACAGTAGGATCCAATATATATACAAAACAGATATCGTAAATCTTACATAGCAAGCAGAAAATTACAAACAGAGCCTGTACAAAAGGGCTGAGCCTATATACCATGTTTTTATACCACATTTCTATACCACCTTAGGTGGCATCTGATGTAGACAGCCACATCATTTGAAAAATTTGCAAAACCCAAGGAAATGAAGGAGAACAACTTCTCTTATACCACAATCATCATTTAATTAAATAGTTTTCCTTAATATTAGTTTATTAAATAATGAACTAAATTTAAAAATCTGATTAATTCAAATAATGTGGCTGTCCACATCAAATCTGACCTAAGGTAGTATGAAAATGTGGTACAAAAACATGATATGAATAGCATTACTCAAACACATATCGACAAACAATGTACTTTTGCGTGCTCGAGGAGTAAAATATTTTTTGACAATCAAAAAAAAATTATGCCAATTGCACATATGCGCGAAAGAGCGGACTGAAAGACCATAAATTCGACTAAAGCAACCGAAAACACAAAATTACAAATGCAATGGCATTGCAAGATTAACTTAACATAAACCGGTGAAAAACCGTGCTGCAAATCCAAAGAAGCCACAGGAACAAATAGCAATCAAACAGTTGATTTATGATTTAGCTACAAAACAATCAACCAGTCCACTAGCTCGCATTTCGTTAGCCGAAAGAACGAAAATTAGTTAACCCTAAGTAGAATGTAAGTGCAGGCCTTAAACTTCTAGTATTGATCGTGTGATTTGAATGATTTGAAACAGAAATTAAATCAAGGAAAAATTATGAACTTTCTCAGCAACCAAACAGGAAAATTTTCAACAAAATATAAAGCTTACAACTCCGGTGGAAGTGTAAGTGGTGACGGTGAACTTGTGGTCGCTCTGGTAATCCTTGTAAAGAAGATCTGCACGGAAAAAAGCAAAAAATAAATATTTATGAGTGAAAAATAAAAATAAAAAAATGGAAAAAAAATTAGGAAATACGATAAATCAAAGAGAAAAATGAAGAGAAAAATGAAAAGGACGGACCTCTGGCTTTCTTGCCGATATCGAGATAGAGTCCTGGGCCCTTCACCATGATTATTTCTCGAGAAAATTTGGAAGGAAAATTTCAGAGAAATCAGAGCTGGATTTGTGTTCTAGTTAGAAGACGAAGAAGCGAAGTGGATATAATCTAGAAACCCAAGAAACAGTGATTGCCGAGACTGAGAGGAGAGGCGTGGGCCGTTGGATCTTGTACTGGGTAGAGGTACGGGTTTGTGGCCGTTGATTTGGAGGAGAGGTTCGGTGCTTTGATGACCTCGAGAATCGTACGAGAGGTTGCGTCGGGCATATTCGGCTTTTTGGTGCCTTTCTGTGACACGTTGCTAAAAGTGACACGTTGCCGGTTTCTTTTCTTTAAATTTTTCCACATATATTTTCTTGATTTCTAATTAAGAACGGAGTAATACTAGTATCATGTTTTTGTATTACTTCCTCATATCACATTAAGTGACATTTGATATGTACAGTCACATCATTTAAATTAATCAGATTTTTAAATTTAGTTCATTATTTAATAAACTAATAATTAAAAAAAACTAATTAATTAAATAATAATTATGGTATACGAGAAGTCTTTCTCCTTCATTTCCTTGGATTTTACAAATTTTTCAAATCATTCTTAAGATGGTATAAAAATGTGATATAAAAACATGGTATGAATAGCATTATACTTAAGAACGAGAAACCCAAAATTAAATCTAAACCACAAAAAATAGCAAATTAAACCACAAAAAGAGCAAGAAAATTGTAAATAGAAAAAGGGGCAAATACTTTGAATCCCTTGTAGGCTATATTACAAAGTTGAAGCATCACCCTTCAGTTTCAAAGCCAAAACAAACATAGAAAACTCACACTGCCAATTATATACGTGAAGATACGTCCAACAGTAAAATTAACCACTCTTTTATAGATCCTAAATCACACCCAAATTCGAGTCTTGCGTAACCAAAAACAAGCATAGAAAACTCACACTGCAAATTATATACGTGAAGATACGTCCAATTGTAAAATTAACCACTCTTTTAGATCCTAAATCACACCCAAATTCGAGTCTAGCGCAACCGCACTAACAAACCATCGGAAGCTTAAAGATGCCGAGCCTCCCACTTATTACCAAGTAACGGCATTACACCCGACTTCCTTGAAGGAGGCCGTCTCTTATCTGTGAAGAGATATCTTTCACAGCACCGGGTCCGTGTGGGATGAAAACCGAGTTGGACTTTGAGGACGCACCAATGTCCTTCAATGTGTCGAAGTACTGGGTCACCAGAACCATGTCCATGACATCCTTGGATGATGTCCCCGGTACGTTCTCAGAGAAGGCCAGCACACTGTCTCTCAGCCCGTCCACAATGGCCTGGCGCTGCCTCGCTATGCCGAGCCCCGACAGATACTTGGACTCCGCCTCTCCCTCAGCTCGCTTAATCTGTAGTATCTTCTCCGCTTCAGCTTTCTCAGTTGCAGCCAGCCTCATCCTAGCAGCTATTAGTTATTGGAAAACAAGCATATATTAGTCGTTCTGCAGCTGTTACGGCCAAACAAACTTAATAATTCAAAGGAAAACACTTATTGCAGGTGCATTTGTGTTAGTGTCCTACAAAAAGGAATTATAATTCAAAGAGACGCATGAGACATCTCAGTCTCGACACTTTTCATGTTCCAGAGTGCAACGGAGGAGAATCCACACCGATGTTATTTGGAAGATAGGAGTGGAAAGCCTTGTAATCGAAAAAAAAAATCCCAATCGTTTTAACTGCCAGAAAATTCTATCAGTCAATATTTAAACAAAATATTATACCTGCATTTATCTCATTCATTGCTCTCTTCACATGCTCATCTGGTTCGATATCCACAATTAGTGTTTGAACTATCTCAAACCCATAATGCGACATGGCCTGCGTATTGACAATAAAGTACTAAGCATAATAGATGCTTCACAGCTGGATTCTATACCGAACAAGGCAGAAACATCCATACCTTTGCAAGTTCGTCTTCCACAGCTTTGGCTATATCATTCTTCTGCTCAAAGGTTGAATCTAGGTCCAACTTTGGAACACTTGCCCTGATAACTGAAAAGAAAAATAGAATTCCATTAGTTTAAACTACTACGCCATACTCCTCTCCAGGGTACGATGGCTTGAAACAAGAATTAGCCAGACTTGAAAGCCTTGAGCCTAAGAAACATCCCATACCGAAACTCAAACCATAAACCAAGCAGCTTTATGTTTTACTTAAAGAACAGTCCCATTTCTAAACGGTTCAAAATCATGTTTTAAGAAAAATTTAAACGAAAGCCCCATCAAAAGTCGACTTATCACAGTTATCCACAAGCTGCACTATTTTCTACCCAGTGATAAATGATGATTCATGACACAACTGAACTAGCTATTTACAGATGTCTTGATTGCTAGAAGGAAAATAACAACAAAAAATAACTTGTGTAATTATGAGTTTCAGTAATAAATTCATACCGTCAAAGACGTAGGACTGGATCTGCCCTCTGGTATTGCTGAGCTTGTAAAAAGCATCAGAAGCCTTTTCAGCCAAAGCTCGGTATTGAACAGAGGCAACCACAGTAACAAAAACATTATCCTGAAGAAATACCAGACATCAGAATTGCAAGATAGATTGCACTTCAAATTCCAAACTCCGACTTTGTTACTCTAGTACTAAGAGATACTCCTACAGTGCGTGTGCAGTGCGCTACTGTGCATGCTTAGAAGGTCATAAAAATCTTCTTATTGAAATGAATCAATATGAAACGAACCTTCGTCTTTGTTTCACAACGAACGTCCAATTGCTGCACACGTAAAGAGAGATGACCAGCTACCTGGCTACCCAAACACCATGGCAAACAGTGACAGCCAGGTTCAAGCACATCGTCGAACTTCCCAAAAGTTTCCCTGATAGCAACAGTAGACTGGTCCACTTGAACACAACCAAGAACTTGTCCCATTTTCTGATTATGCCAACAACGGTAACAACAATGGTAATCAGAGGTTAATTGTAATGCAGATTTTTATAGTCAACTTAAGGAAATTAAATTTTATCTCAGGAAGAAGGCTTACGATATCTTTTAATAAATTGCAATAACCTTCACATTTAAATTTCAATTTCAAGAAGGTTTATACAGGCTAGGCTTGCTTTCAGAAACAAGATATTATGACCCTATAAAATACTATACAAATTTCACCAAGTGCACAAGTAACCAACAAGATATGTTCAAACTTTAGTTCCCGTCGCAATGCGAACAAACATATAAAGTTATAAACTACAGGATAGCAATCCGAAAACATAAAAACTAAGGACAACGCAGATGAGCTGCCAAATGGAACAACTGGCTAAGTGCCTCAACGCTGAACTGTTCAACCAGAGCTGGATTGTTACAAACCTAAGCCTTCTACACACGTCTTACCGGCTTGACCACACAAGAAATATTTGCAAGATTTTAACGAAACATTCTCGGTACTCTTCGAATTTAACGAAAAATCATATTTTTATCTTTTTCCTACTACTATTCATTACACCTTTATTTATCTTTTTTCATTAAAACTAAAGCTTTTTTTAGATTTTTTTGTTAGTTTTTCTCAATAACGAGAGTTTTTTATGTGTCCGAACATTAGGTGGTGAATTTTCTTAAAGAGAGAGGAAGGGCATGGTATTATGATTTTGATTCTCAATCTCTTGATTGATATTTTTGATAATAAAAAAAAAGGTGAAATGGTCGCAGATTTAGGTGATGAAGGGAACGATGGGGGGTTGTTGGGATTTCCGACAAAAAGTGGGTGAGTTTGGAAGTGGTGGTGGTGGAGATATCTTGGTTTGCTGGAGGTGTTTGCAGGGAGACGGTGAATCGGTGATGGAAGGGAGAAAAGTGGGGCCCAAACCTGAAAATTACACTGGTGTGACCCGTATTTGACAAAGTGTTTACTTGGGTACAGAGTCTATCCATAATTGGGACCCATATGAAGTATTTGAGAAAGTGGCCAGGGTACAGACTCAGTCAATGCAGACTTGTTCTCTGTTTTTTAAGCGAGTTTCCCAGCATTTCTCAACAAATAAACATTAATAAATAATTACACAACAATTTTATGACAATTTCTCAAGAAAATTTACCGAAAATTATACGATGTCAAATCAAATCACACAAGTTTCAGTCGGAAATTCAAGAAAAATTAAAACTCCAACCGATTCACACCGTAAAATCAAGAGCTAGAAGAACCAGAAAAAAAAAGCAAATTCCTTTGAAAAATCGAACAATTACAGCAACGAAAACGGTAAGGAATGCAAAATTAGAGTGAAAATTCACCTCAGAAACGGAAGCGTTTGTCTGCGAGGCTAGCGGAAGACGAGAAGCGGCCACGTGAAATTTGGGAAATAGGAATTGCAGAGAAGTGGATATTTATAGGGCCGCGAAGGGAGTGGAATTTTTGGGCGAAAGGGTTTTATCTTTATCCGCGCGTAGGAACAAGTTCGGGTCGCTATAAGATTAATTCTATTGATGATGATTAGGCTTTCATGTGATGTTTAATGCTTGAATTTTACTTTATTTCCTTCTATTTTATTTTTTTTCCCAAAGCCTATGTATCTCATACCTCGAAAGATAGGACTAATCTTTAATAGGGCTCGAAAAAGCTATAGGCATTTCAGTTTATTTTTTTACAACAATCAAATAACACACGTTCTCTTAAAAGCTTTCAACCAGGAAATCACTCATATGTTTGTTAGTTTCATATCTCAAACCCAAAATCAAAGAGTAAACCCGACTTGAAATTCCACCATGGTCTATGAATGAATGCTCAGATCTCAATCTCACTCTCAACCCAAGCCAACCCAAAAAAATAAAAATAAATAACTAAAAATATTTTTAATTAATATTTGTGTGTTTTTTTTTAATTACATGCAAAGAGTATGTTTGGAAGTGCTTTCAAAATTATTAAAATGTATTCAGATAATCAAATATGCCTGTGACAATGTTGTCATAAAACTTTATAAAAAGTATTACACCGCACATTAATCACAGACAAATTCCCTTTCTAGTGTAGTCCCAATACCATGTGAAGCCGTAGTGTACTAATTTTAGCCCCCTCGTCAATCACTACGCCAAAGTAGAGCCTTAGCTTCAGAAAATTTATCATGGGAGATCGAACTTGAGTTGGAAGATCCTCG